TGGGGACCACCAAGCGCAAACCTTGTTAAGCTTTATTTGGCGGCAAAACATCCATATTGTTGAGAGATCCTCTGACACCAGATATATCAGCTACGAAGAGCGTCTAGGAGTTCGTCACAACCCTTCAACAACACTAGTTAAGCCCTAAGCCATTGGAAATAGCAGAACGGTTTGGTTTTTACAAACGAAACCAGCGTGAAGGAGAAACTGTGTTGACCTACGTGGCTGATCTTAAGAAGCTAGCGGCCCACTGCAATTTTGGAGCAAACCTTAACGAAGCGCATTTTAAGAGTCTGTCGCTCAAAACAACAAGGTACGCCCATACAAACGCCGAAAACACCGCAAAACGCCCAAATCCATACTGTTGAATACAGTGAGGTCTATTAATATGAAGGATTTATTAAGTTTGAAGATACATAATGTGAGCAACCCGAGCAGAAATGTTACCTGGATAGATTTAGTAGAGGGGAAACCTCTTAAAATGGAACTGCGCACGGGCTCGGCTGTAAATGGAGAAATATAATGAGATACCCTTGCAGAAAACTGAATTGATGTTGAAAACTTACGCTGGGGAGACCATTACTCCTGTTGGAGTGCTTAAGGCAAATGTTGAGTACAAAGGCCAGCAACCATTACTGTTGGATCTGTATGTCGTCAACGGCAAGGAACCTGTGTTGACAGGGATGGATTGCCTGTACAAGACACGCTTAGATTGGTGTACCATCAAATCACTGAAAGTTTCACAAGCTGCACTAACTGCCAATGGGCGTCTGCAAACCATGCTAGACAAGTACTCGGAAGTTTTTGAAGATAAACTCAGAACATTCAGATCAGGTAAAGCAAAGCTAACCCTCAAAGAAGATGCCCAAGTTCAATTCTATAAAGCTCGAGCTGCGCCATATGCCTTGAGACCAAGGGTTGAAGAGGAACTGATGAGATCAGAAGACTTCAGAATGAAGGTATTCTCAAGAAAGTTGAGTGGAGTGAGTGGAAAAGTCCCATTGTACCCGTCCCAAAGAAAGATGGATCAGTATGCATATCCGGCGATAACAAAGTTACAGTGAAACCGGAGCTACATGCTGAGCGGTACCCCTTACCCCGCAGTGAAGACATCTTTGCAAGGCTTGCTGGTGGACAATGCTTCTCAAAGATTGACCTTCGTCAAGCATTCAACCATTTGGAGAAGGAAGAAGATTCTAAGAAATATCTCACTATCAACAATCGTATGGCCTTGTTATGGTACAACAGGTCGGCACACACTAGAGGACATGTTACGTTGACGTGAGGCGGGGACAAACCTCTTAGTGTGCAAGTTTAGGACACAGGACATGCATGTTGCATGCACGGTTAAAGTATTTTGCATGCAGGCTGGTGCACTCGAAGCGGATTGAGGCATAAAAAAAATGAGTTGTAGCAGGAACAACAATTTGCCTGTTTCACAGTGAGCTCC